TGATCATACCCATAACAAAAATTTGGACTTCAATTGGTGAAATTAATGAGAAGTCATAGTGACAAGTATGGAAACCCTTCCCCCACCCCCCCGCCCCAATAACTAGTAAGTTAGGTAATGGATAGAAAAATTTTAGTAAGTCTACGATTAAAGAAAAAAGAAAAAGATGAAGAGATTAGAAGGGTAAAAGAGAAAAGGTGGGGGAAGAAGAAAGGAAAAGAAATGTTGGAGAAAAAGGAAAGAAACCAGAATTTAGATAAAAAGAAATTCTTCAATTATATTCCAATAATAAATATCATCTTCATTACATCCAATGCTTTTTAATGGGCAAAAAAGTGGTCAAGGTTATTCTTTAGGGAGTTAGAATGAGTAGATTTTATAAGGGGAGATATCCCTCCTGGACAAGGTGCTTCTTTAATGAGAAGAATTCTTTTTTTCCTCCTTACGAATAACAAAGTCCAATATCAAACTTTCCTCATTTTAACACCAAGAGAGATGCCTAAATTTTAATCGAAAGATGCATTCTTGCAGTCAACAGCTTTCATTAACTCATCAACTCTAACAACAATCCCAAAAGGGACCCATTTGTACGGTTTATTTGCCACAAGGACGTCCAAAATCTACCCAGCCACAACAGATGCTTGTTGAGCCTCTCCTACCATGGAATTAATGACATTACTCATTCTTTTCCAATACTTTAGCAATCAACAAGTAGATACTCCTGAACAACCTAATAGATCTAAAGTCACAAAAGCTAACTGGCCCTTTCACATTGGGAATTAAGACAAGAAAAGAGGAATTGCGGCTTACCATTCACACGGAATTCAGTGAAGAATCCGTGGTGTGCTCCTTATTTAGACCCAGTTTTGCTGTAAGAAAGCCATTTTTACACCCCCGAATTGAGGCTTACCATTTACATGGAATTCATTGAAGAATTCATGGCCTGCTCCTTATTTACACCCGAATTTTGTTGTAAGAATACCTTAGAGAATCCATCCGCTTTGAGCACCTTGTTGCCATTGCAGGAAAAAATAACCTCATAAAATTATTTAGCCAAAAATGGGATATCTAGAGAGCTATTTTGAAGAGGAATTGCTGATAAAATTCCAGACCATCCAATTTCAGCCTCCACTGCTGTGTTACATCATATAGGTTCTTGCTGGAAATCTCATATCAATCTTGTCATCAAACAGACTCCCCAACTATCAGCCTCGAACTAAGATTTTTCCAGCAATGAGCATTTTCCATTCAATCTAAAAACTTTATTTTTTTGTCCCCCACCTTGCTCCAAATTATCTAGGTTGTTGACACCAAGCAACCACTCTCAAAATCTGGGATCTATTGCTTTGGACTCATCCCCAGAGATCAAAATAATGTTTGATCTTGGATTATCTCTCCATCTAACTAGAAACTAATAAGAGTAGAAGTGATCACCTCTATATTGAGTATACTATTTATGATACTCCAATCCCACATTATAAAGATAATAGTTGTTGAACTCTATGTAAGGATAAAATCATATACCGCCAACAATCTAAACTTGAATATTTCAGCGTCAGTGGTTTGGATATAAAAGATTGTTTGGACCAGTAGTGTTTTAACCCGAAACGTCATAAATAGTATCAGAACACATGTCAACTTGGTGACTTTGAAATAGTACAATCTTAGACTTTATGGGTCTTTAAGTTGTAATTTATGACCATGATGTACAACTGATGAAGACATCGAGGATTTAAGTGGTAAAAATTGCAGTACTTTAATCCTATATCAGAAAAATATGTAATTGTTAAGCTCCATATAAGGGCTCGAGTCACATACTACTAATAACCTAAGTTTGAACTTTTAAGAATCGGTGGTATCATTATTAGGTTAGAGATATTTGGATGCAGGATCTTACAACTGATATCGGAATACATGTTAACTCGATGACTCCGGGTTAGTACTACCATGAATCATATAGGGCCTTTGTATTGTAATTTGCAATGATGTGATATATGGTTTTAATGAAGACGTCAAGGATTCAAGTAGTAGAGATTGTGATACTCAAATCTCACATCAGAAAGATATGTGATTATTAATGTTAAGAATGGTTTTTCTTATTGATATGCTAGATGCAAAGATGAAATAAGGTATAAAATGCAAGATAGAGCAAGCAATGACATAAGCTAATATAAAGGGTTTAGACAATACAAACAATAGAATTTAAACAAATGGTTACTATTTTCTTTTTGTCGAGACAGCAAGTTATTAGGAGATTATGCAAATTAACTCAAATACTTGTTCGCACAAAATATCAATCAAGTTGCTAATGCATAGACTCTTACCTCATAGAAAAAACAACTGAAGAAGGGTTAAGGCTTTTGGGTTTTTTGTCTTGGCTTTCAACTCAAACTAGAGGCCTAGCTTGTTCCAATAATCTTGAATGGTGTTATTTTCCCAAATAAGTATGCTCTGATATTACTTAATGTAGGACGCCAGTGATTAGGATACAAATACTAGTAAATAAAGTTATAGACAACACCTTTTAGCAAGATAAGGGGGAAATAGAAAAGATTAGGGGAGGAAAATGAACAAGTACCTATTAGCAAGGTGGACAGCTCGTTAGAGAGTTCATACTTTTCATGTATATTTTAGAAATGTAATAGTTGTACATATTTATGTAATTATGGTATAAATTATTTTTCTTTCTTATAACAATATTTCAGCTAGGAATAGTAGATTTTTGGGGATATAAATCAAAATTATTCCTATTTAATGAAAAGTTTATCAAGGGTAAAAAATTCAGCTAAAAAACGTGATATGATATCAAAATCTGTGTTTTTCTCCAAGTTTTTTTATATTTTCAATTTTGTTTTTCTTCTGAGTGCTTTAATAATTTAGATAACTTGTGATCTTTGTCTTAGAATCTTTGTTATTTTTTAGTTTCCTTTCGTTTTTAAAAAAAAATGACTTCTAAAAAAATTACGTTCAATTTACCGAAAAAATTATTTTATCTGAGAATTTCAGTTTCAACTATTTGTGATAGAAAAGAATTATAAGGTCCTATAGATGGAAGTGATCCAGCTCCTACAGATCTTGAAAAATAACTTCAGTGGAATGTCAAAAATACTAGAGTGATGACTAGGATTTTACGATCAGTTGATTCTCTTATTGTACTTAATCTCAAGGTATATAAGAATGCAAAAGTCATATGTGATTATCTCAAAAAGGTGTACAATCAAAATAACAGTGCAAGACGTTTTCAGTTGGAGCATGATATTATTAATTACTCTCAAGGAAGTCTCCATTCAAGATTATTTTTTTTTATTTCAAAATTTATAAACTGAATTTACTGATATTGTTTATGCTGACATACCTAATGCATCTCTATCTATAATTCAAAAAGTTCATAAGCAGAGTAAGTGAGATCAATTCTTGGTGTAATTGCGCCCCGATTTTGAAAATATTCGCTCAAACTTTATGAATCGTGTTCCTTCTCCTTCCTTGGATGTTTGCTTTGGAGAATTGCTTCGTGAAGAACATCTTTTAAGCCAAACCACTTTTCAGCAAGAGAATACTGTCAATCTTGCTTTTGCAGTGCAAGGAAAAGGAAAAACCAAAGATATGAGCATAATACAATGTTATAGTTGCAAAGAATATGGTCATATTGCTACCAATTGTGAAAAAATATTTTGTAATTACTGTAAGTAATAAGAACACATTTTCAAAAATGTCCCACATCCTCAAAATCGCAAAGTCAATGCTTTTCAATTTGCCTTAAACAGTTTTCCTTCAATAGGGAAATCTTCAACAAGTATCAATAATCAATTTGCTGCATCACCTGTATCTATAAGTCCTATAACAACTCCATCAATATCTGCACTAGTTGTACTTACTTCTGAAATGATACAACAAATAATTTTTTTAACTTTTTCAACCTTGAGTCTACAAGGTAATGATACTATATCTCAATTTTGTCTTGTCGATTCTGCTGCTTCAAATTACATGGTCAACTCATCTCATATACTTAAAAATGTTTGTAAGTATCATAGTTCATCATAAATTG